CATGGAATGCCATGTTCCTTCACACACCCCAAAAAGGGATGGATGGAAGTCACAAAGTTTGGGAAAATGAAAAACTCAAGCTGCCCTGAAGCCACTCTATGGCTCAGGGGTGGAGCGCCCTTCCCTACTCATAGCCTTCCGCTTCTTGGCTGAGATGAACGCACCGTCCATCCTGAGAGTCCAGGTCCCAGTCACCAAGAAGTTCTTGATGACATCTTGCTTAGAGCTCTTCGTCAAGCCGTCAGCCAACTGCCGGTCAGAGTCGCACCACAGGACCAAGGTTCCTTGTTCTGCGATGTGCTGTTGAAGCGCTGCCAGCTCCAGCGCGGAGTACTTGTCCTTAATCCCCACGGAAGCAGACAACACGGCATCCCGGTCCAAGACGTCATACACGGCCTTGGCGTCAATGACCATGGACGCGGGGACTGTCCTCACCGCCGCTGCCGGGTTCGCCAGATCAATCTCCTTGCCCAGCAGCTCGCACCATGTCAGCCTCGCAAGCATCATCTCCTGCTCCAGGTCCGCAAGGCTCTGAACTTCTGCAGACAAACTTGAACGAGCGACCCGGTTCAGCTTCGAGGACTTCCACCCTAAGGGGTTCAGCTTCCCGGTCCCTTTGGCAAAGTCCTCCGGATGCATGAAGCCAAAAAGGTGGCCCCCAGTAGAAGAGCCGTCAGGCCGATTCGCCAACGAAGCGTCACTGTAGCCGACCATCATCAAGCGCTCCGGATGCTCGCAGTTAAGCTGCTGCACCCGCACACTGACATGTCGAGAGGCGTAGATTTCTCTCACGAGCTTGTTCACTTGCTCCACTGCCGAGCAGTGCTTCGTGGCCAGGAAGCTCTGAAGATAGCTCAGCTTCGCAGCATGTTGTGGTCCAGACTGCGTGACACGCCACTGGGCTGACCCTAGGATAGCCCTGGCTTGGCTGACCTCCTTGTCGGACAACGGCATCTCCTCACCCTTTTTCCGGGAAGGCATCTGACTCAAGTTTCCACAGAACTCCGAGTGGTCCAACATCACAGAGTCATCCGAGAACTGCTGGTGCCTCAGCCCGCAGTGCAGGAAGTTCTCCGCTTCCCACAAAGCCCACTTGTAGGATGAATGGAGGTCATGGAGGAAAGTTGTCCAAGTAGCCGAGCCCTCATCTCCGGAAAAAAGCACATCATCAACATGCACTCCGAGAAGTCCACTGACCTGGCCCTCCGTGCCTTGCACGGTCCAGAGGCAAGGGTCAGTCTTGCTCTGCTGAGCTCCCAGCTTCCGCAATGTAGTTGCGAAGTCATCGAACCATTCCCGTGGAGCGGACGTGAGTCCGTAGGCGGATCCGAGAAGTTTGATCATCTGACCCTCGCTCAGCTTCATGGCCTCCGCAAGCTCTGGCAAGGGCTTCGCGTACAGGGGATGAAGTCTTTCTGGGTTTGGCTTGAAGAAAAGCCGTCTTGACATCTCCAGCCAAGATCTTCCACCTTCTTGCCGTGGCCATGTTCAACAGCAGCATCTTGCTCAACCTGGACATTGCCGGACTGGATGCGGTCCTCTCCAAAAGGGACGGGTCAGAGAACCCCAAGACCACAATTCTCGCTTTTGCTTTTGCCTTCCCTTTCTCAGTGGGCTCCTCGCCGGCTGCCTTGAAGGTGTATAACCATCTCATCCTCACGCACTGCTCCTCAGTGATGGAGGGACATGCTGCCTTCGCCACCTTATCACCCAACCAGGACTCAATCTCAGCGGTCTTAGCAGCGTTCATGGCCAGCTTCTGCTTCTCGTTGAGCTTATGATAGGCAACCTCCACGCCTTTCTGCACATTCTTGACCATGAACTTCGAAGGGTCCTTAAGGATCTTCTTCCAGGCCTTAGGGTCTTCGGGAATCTCCAAGGTAACCGAAAACAGCACGCTGGAGAAGTCTTCTTTCACCCACAACGCAGAGGCTTCACGTTGAACATGCCATGGTCTATCACTTCGCTCATGAGAAGCTCGCTGCTCTTGAAAGGTGACGGGTCCACGTTGTCCAGAGGGCAGGTAAGTCACATCGTCGAGCAGGCGATCGATGTCCAACTCATCCTCTTCCGCCGGAGGTGGTGGTCGCTTCAGTCTATCTTCCTGATCAGGGACCATCTCCTCATCGGACGGGGCATCACGAACATGTTGAGGAGTGGCTGTTGGCACTGTCCTTCGACGGGAAGGTCCAGGAGCTTCTTTGTTCTCCCGTGCCTTGTTCTTCACCCGCGAGGATCTTCCCCAAGTCCGCCTTTTTGCTCGAGTCTCATCATCATAGGCCCCTTTCTGAAGCAACGATGTCAAAGACGAAAAGGTCCAGGGGAAGGTTGTCACCGACGTAGCGTTACTCACCAACCTTTCCGACTCTGAAGCGTGACGGACCTGGCTGGCGTGGAACTTTTTCAACCGTCCAGCAGCAATCGCCCACAACATCGCAGAAGGTCTTCGGGAGCTTCCATCTATCTTGGTTTCACAAGCGAGGACACGAGCAGGGCCATACCAGCGCGCAGTTCGCAACCTTGGGTAGTCGAGCATGCTGTTTGCTGGAAGATCTGCAGGATGCTGGAGCCTTCGAGAAAAAATCAAATCTCCCAGGGAGGTACTGCGTGTACTCGCTTGTCCTGGAGTTCTTCGCTCGAGTGGCTTGCTCTCGCGCACGATGCTCAAGGAAGGCCTTCTCCGCATCCTTTCGGACTTGCCAAGTAGATGAGGAGGATCTGTCGATGGAGATCTCGTCGTTGTTCGAGTCCAACAAGCGACCTCCAGCGACCAATCTCTCCCCAATGCCCACTGTAGCGGAGAAAATCCGTGCACTCTTGCCAACGAGTTGTGGGCCGCAATCATCGCAACAGCTGCGTGCTTGGCGTCCACAGGAGATCCCCTGAGGAATGCCTCCGCTTTAAGGCGCAAACTTCCGATTGCCCTTTCGGCTTGAGCAATGGTTTCGTGATGCTCAGCCGGCGCCGGCACCAAGTCGACCCCATGCTCCTGGAAGTACTCACGCAACTTCTTGGACCGATGAGCTCCCTCTAAGTCCATCTTCACGGTCTCTGGGTAGCCGAAGTATTGGATCCAAGCCTCTTGGATGGTGTCGATGATCTCCTGCCCTGTTGCATTCCTGCTCTGGTCGTCTGGGATGCGGAACAGTTCTCGAATCACAGCATAGCCGCTGGCCTCATCCACAAGGAGCACAAAGTGGTGCAACAGTCCATTGAACTTCATGTCCCATCCATCCACCTGCAAGCACGACCATAGCCGTTCTGAGCGTTCCAGGTTGACTGCGGGGCTTGGCATCTTGATGCGGCCTTCCAAACACTCATCGCACTCCAACTTAGAAGCGGCAGCGATGACCAGAGGGTCTGCATTACGTGATTGAAGGTTCTTGACAAGCAGCCGATTGGACGGGTGGCCAAATCGTCGATGAAGTTTCTTCACATCCTCCATTAACTTCTGAAGTTTAGGTGGCTCCAAGGTCTCCAGCACAGAAGTGTCAATAGGGAAGATCTCACCATCCTCAGCCCACATCAGATCTCCATGAGGTCTGGAAATTGTCCTTGCTAACCACGTCCATATGGATTCAGAAGCCCCAGAGGTGGTAGTAGAGAAGGTATTCTGACTGGCAGCACGGTTCTGGTCTAACTCTGCTGTGACCTGAAAGAAGCCCTCAGAGGTGGTAGTAGAGAAGGTATTCTGAATGGCAGCGCTGGTGCTGGTTACCTTCACGGTTTCGTTGCCAAGCATCAAAGGTCCACTCGACCTGGCCTTCCAGAAGGCCATCACCTCTGGAAGGTGCCACACAGATGAGGAAGGGTGTGTCAGCCAGATCACCTCCTGCCCGTTATCCGCCGCCTGTCGCGAAAGAAGAAGCAAGTGGCGGACCACCTTCTGGAACTTTTTGATCTTGCTACTCGCCTTCTCGTCCATGTCCACAGTGGTCCGTGCTGGCGGCGGTCCTTGAGGCACATTGCAGACTAACCAGCGAGGGCGTAAGAGCTCCAACTGAGACAGAGCTGTCTTGTATCCTTTGTGAGTGGTAAAATCACACCCCTTCCGAAAACCCAAGACGGCTGAGGAAAGGCCTCTCTGCTCAAAGTCGTGGTGGTAGGAGTCGACAGCTAGCCACGGGTCACAGAGCATAGCCACATCCAAGCGGGCAACCGGTGGGTACACACTGGATCTCCTCCAAGGCGTCCACAGCCTTCTTGAGGGGGCGCAGGATGCACTCACAGTCCTCAGCAGACAGGGCATTCTCAGTCAGGACCATCGCCTCCTCATCATCCTCCTGGGTTGCCTCTCCGACCAAGCTCACTTGGGCCGAAGACGAAGGGAGTCCAAACCCACAACGTCGTAGAAGCAGAGCATCTGCTTTTGGAAGAGAATCCCCACTCCTAGGGGTGAAGGCCGTGACCACATAGCGGTTTCCTGTCCACGGGAGTGAGCAATGATATCTTTTCGGTGACACCTTCACCGGACGATGGCGTGTGCTCATACTCACTCCAGGGACCTTCAAGCCGTTTGGCTTCGCTCTCCAGACCAGAGGTAGTCCGGGATCAGGGTCTTCCTCTCGAAGCTCCATCCATAGGGCACCATTTTGGAAAGTACCGTACGTGCACGTGTAGTTGTCAGAAGAGGCCAAGTTATGCACATCCATGCGCATCTCCGACTTGATGTTACATGACACTGACACAGAAGTCCATGTCGGACTCTCTTGAGGAAACCATTGAGCAACACAGGCATTCACGTAACGACAAACCTGAGGATATTGGCTTGTGGCTCGGGTGATGCCGCTCATGGGTCCATGAACATAGAATCCAAAAGTCATCACAAAAGAGCCCTGCTTGATGTCCTTCCACAAGCCGCGATGAGGCTGGGGTCGAGAAGCCACCATCATGTTCAGGAGCATCTCCAAGGAGCCATGATCAAGCCTGCGATGGTGCAACAACTCCTCAGCCAGCTGCTCCACTGCTTGGCCATTGACCAGCTTCACACGGTAGCTCGCACCCTCATCATTCAGGATCGCGTTGAGTACTCCAGGTTCTCTGCTGAGGTCTCGTTGGCCCGAGCTGCTTTCCTGCCCGGGTGTGACGCCATCTCCTCCTGCGTGTCCGGTATGACCACCACTGGGCTGGGATTGCTGTTCGGAGTAGTTGCTGTCTCGTTGGGCGGAGTCGGCCGAGGTGGTGGAGAGTCGCCATTGGCCAAGGTCGTCGGAGTCGTGGCAGCCACTGTTGACGAAGGGGGTGCTCCCTTGGCCTTGGCTGATCCTTGGGCCTGGCTCCCGGAGCTTTCGCCTCTCTCATCTTGCGAAGGTGTTCGGCTCGTCGAAGCGCAGAGTTCTCTGCCGCAAGGAGGCTGATCTCCCTGTTGGTGGGGTACTCCTCCGTCTGGGGATCCAGGTTCTGGTGCACCTCCTTGACATCGGCCGCCAGAGGTGCAGAGCGCCGGTAGATCCCGTGCTGTCCCTGACGAGGCACCTCTGTTAGGCGCAGCAAACACTTGGAGCACGCGGTCCAGGCGCCATACTGGTTGGCTCCGCTCGGAGATCCACGGTACGCTGGTGCTGGGGTATGATTCCCGAAGCACGGGGGGCCCGTTGTACGAGGGTCCCTCAAATCGGGCCCTTCGCCCCTCTCGGCCTCCAGAGGAGTAGCCACTCCGCCCTTCTTGGGCTTGGTCTTGCTCTTGGGAGCGGCCTTGGTTGACGGAGGAGGAGGCGCTGAACTTGCCATTGCCGCCGTCGGGGAGGTTGTCGAAGCATGCGCCATGAAGGGCAGCAAAAGTCAAGAGGGCCTTCAAGGTGCACATTCGAGCACTAGCCTGAGATCTCAATCGCTGCGGACCGCTTGGAGATGTCAACTTCAAACAAGACGCAGGCACAGAAGAACTGGACTCTTCCCCTGTCTTGGCATCGGATGCTGAGCTCTTGCTAGACACACACGCTGCACATGCTCTCACTTGCGGGTCTGCTGGCATACTTGAAGTAGCTCTTGAGGAATCAGCAACCATGAATGCAGTGAGAGTCTCATTTTCCTCGATCTCCGCTTGCAAGATCTCAGGGTGAAGATTCAACTCAGACCCTAGCTGGTCCAGGTGAACTCCTTGAGAAAGCCAATCCTGAGTCAGACTGAGGAGCAAATGCCCGGTTCGGCTTCGCCTCAGACCGATGGCCAAACAGGGATTCACAGCAGCAAAGACGACCAGGCAACGGTCAAAGTCAATGATCGCCTTCAACCTTCGCAGTGTTTTCATCCCCAACAACACAGGAACGCCCTCGACGTCCAAAGTGAACATCCCTAACTGAATCTTTCTCTCCCCCAGCATCTGGTCCAACAACACATACGAGGACGCATAGGCATGCTCACCGTTGCCAAACTTAAACCGTTTCACCGGCTCCTGAGTCACTTCCAAACCCACGGGCTTTCCGTCACGAGCTTCCTTGAGCTTCACCAAAGCCTCTAATGCGGGCAAGCTGCACACCGTCTCGGTGGCTCCACTGTCAATGACTGCATAGCCGGAGAGCTCCTCGTCTGGCACCGGCAGCTCCGTGTCACCCAGGTTCTGGAAGCATTGGCCCTCCTCTGGGATCTCTTCCACGGTGTAGACCACAGCATCGACGAAGTTGATGTGGCCTCCTTTCTTACTCTTGGCCCCTTTCCCGGACGCCCTCTTCGGGCAGCTCCGGAAATCATGCCCCTTGTCTCCGCAAATGAAGCAACCGGTGTAGGAGGGATCTCCAACAGCAGCGCCAAGGAACCCTTCTGACAAGAAAGTAGGGCTCGATGATGAAGAGGCAGCTTTGGAGAGGGGAGAACGGATAGAAGCCTCTCGAGAGATTTCTTGCCTTGACAGCCTGCCTGGCTTGGACGAAACTCCGCATCTTTTGCTCGGCCACTGCGAAGGCTTCATCCACCTCCTTCTGCTCCTCTGGAGTGAGGTCTGAGACGTCTGGCTCATCGTTCCACCAGGCATCTTCCTGCCAGCCTTCATGCCATCCATCTGGACTGTCCAGCGAGGACCACCACGAAGTCTGAAGGGACTCTTGCTCAGTCCATCCATCCCCAGAGGTCCACATAGCCGAAGGATCACAGTAGGCCTGCTGTGGCAGCCGCTCTCCAACATAGAGAGTCTCTCCCCCATCCACCAGGTCATCCAGCTCTGACGCTTCGCCCATCAGAAGGGACCAGTGCCCAGCCTCTTCGACCCAGTAGGTTCTTCTTCGCGACGGATCTCTGCCACCTTTACCGTGTCCCTCGGTCTGAAGGAGCTCCTCCTCCATGCCGCGAAGAGCTCGTTCGATGGCATCCAGTTTGAGACTGTTGCCTGCCGCCGCCTGGACAGAAAGTCGTTGCTGACTCGTCAACCCTGCTCTCCTCAAGAGGAGCCATCCCAGGACCTCCGAAGGCAACACTTCAGGAAGCTGCTCATCGTGGGCTTCCCACAACTGGACATCCTCTAAGGCTTTTGCAGAGTCATCGAGTCCTTTCGGTTCTTCTTCTTGCGAGCACCGAGGTCCTCTTGAAGTTCCACTTCGTCGTCTCGAGGATCATCAGGTGGAGGACCAATTGTCACCTGATCATCTTCTTCGGCCGCCTGCACCTCAGCATGTGGCTCCTCTTCGGTGGCAAGGCTGGCTCGGCGAGCTGGAGAGGACGCCACCGAAGGTTCCGAAGATGATCGAACCCCATTCTTGCTCTTGTCCCCAGCCTTGGTGCGGACCTGCGACAACGCAACCTGGAGATGTCGATACTGAAGGCGAAGATGTGCCGCCCATGTTGCCATGCTCTGAGCAGGGGACCTCCGCAATCGCAGCATCAAGGCTTCAAGTCTCACTCCAATGTCAGGCACAGGAAGGCGGCCCAGTGACTCCTTCAAATACTGGAGTAAGTATATCACGCCGTCACGGCGACAGAGCTCACGATGGCTGAGGTCACCCGTGATAGCCCACGCACGGCCGGTGAGCTCGCTGACGATGCGAGGGGCAAGCAAATGACGCTTGCGTCGAAGCGTTTGTTCAAACGATAGCCTCACCGTTCTGCAAAAATCGTTCCACGTACTGGGCTCCCCGTCCCACGTACATCTCAGGGACGGGGTATCCCTGCTCTCCGGTGTCATAGTCCACGCGAACACCGAAGGACCTGAGCAGGTTGTCCAAGGAGTCCTTGTCGGAGCTGAGGCTCCGCCCCCAGGAAGAAGGCAAAGTAGGTGAAGCCACCCTCGAAGAATTAGACGTGGGAGTGCCCCAACGTTCCTGATTCGTAGGAGTCCCTTGGACCAGTAGCCTGCTCCGCTACCAATCTCAAGGTATCCCAGAATCCACAAGCAAAAACGTGCAAAGCTCGAACTCGCAGCACCTGTTTTCCTTGACCCTCACGGTCACACGATCCTGGGACCCGCAGACTCACCTTCGGTGACGATGATCCCTCAGGGAATCAGATGAAAGCGTAGCTACAAAAGCTTGAGGCAAAAGGCCAGCCTGCGGATCCAACAGCATAGCGTTCAAGTGCTCATGCTACCAAACTTTGGGAGTGAAATCCACTTCATGGAATGCCATGTTCCTTCACACCAGCCAACAGCAGGCCAGAAGCAAAATCGAAAAACGAAAGAAAAACATAAAGAGTAAGAAAGACCAAACAAACGGCAGTAGAGGCTAGGCTCTCGTACTGCCTGAGCGTGGCACCCGATCTTTTTCGGCCAGTTCTCCCAGCAGGTTCGCCTTCTCCTTGGCGAATTCCCCAGAACCCGCCTCCAACTCCTGCAAGGAGGCGCTGCAGGCCGGATCAGAGTACAGGGGTGGCAAGAGTCAGCACTGGACCTTGCACTTCTTTGAGAGGTCAAGTTTGGCCCGTTCCTCAAGCACCACCGAAGTGCTTTCTCCACATCAGCACGTTTGGCCAAGCATTTGCTGGCCCTGCTGAGGCAAGCGGCTAGATCTGTCTTGGTCTCGTGGAGCTCTTGCTCCTTGACTCGAAGCTCTGCCTGGGCATGTGCGAGGTCGCTGCGCACCTGCACAGGAATGCGCCGCGAAGCACAGCGATGCGCACCCTGCTTATTGGCATCCTGGGCCCACCATCCGACCTGCTCAAGCTCCTTTTCTGAAGCCTTCTGGAGTGTCTCGGAGCCTCCGATGAACAGCTGCAGTAGTGCTCAGTCGTTACTGAAAGTAGCACCAACATGAGCGGCTTTGCTGTGAATTCAGCAGCAGGTGCAAGTGAACAGCTTCGGCAAATCCAGCTTGAATTCGGGGATAGCCGCAAATAACCATGAACTGTTCAACTACCAACGGGCAGGTTTAGTTGCATCGACAAATGTAAGGTCACATCAACTGGGAGGTTTACCATCACTCGCTGCTGGGAGTAAAGTCGTATCGACCCCATGTGAAGTCACATCAAGCAGAGCATATTTTCACATGGCATCGATCCTCCAGTGCCCCTGTAGAAACCTGCTTCATTGTCGTGACTGGCGTGAACTGGGCAGCTGCCGCACTGCACAAAAAAGTGAGGTCCTGAGCCGTGGCCATTTGGTGCGATATGGACATCGCGATTTTGCCGTTGAAGCAAAAAACAAGTATCCATACTGCCCTTTCCTATGCATCAGTCATCCTGGCAGGTTTTTGATTGCGGATACTTTTCCGGCCAGCGCAAATGGAAATGGGTCTCCGACAAGGAAACTCGGGCCCACCGGCTTGCCTGCCATCGCCAAGAAAAGCACCCAGTGTGCCATGTTTAGCCCTGCAAACCGTCAGCACTGCTGGCTACAAAGTGGCTTGATCGGATTGCCCGTGTACTGTTCTGCAAACCTGCGTGCACGGCACGCGAAAAGATTTGTCCTCCCCAGCCCAAGCAATTCAGCTCCACTGTGTTTGCAAGGATTTTGCGACGGGCGAAAATCTCGAGGTTCAGCGGCAAGTGAGTCTAATTTCATGGAGCGCCCAAAAACGACACAGATCCGGGGATCGCGAAAATGAGCCCACAAGAGTCGAGAGCAGGATTCAAAAGCAACGACCGCTACGAGGAGCCACCGTAGGCGACTCAGTGCCGGCACGGCAGCACAAATGCCGAGTCCGCTTCCAAAGTATGAGGAAGCCTTCCAAAAGCCTAATGGGCTGAATACTGCGTCCATCCTATTGGAGCTTCAAATGCGCACAGGCCGTACTAAGCGCTCCAAAAATGTGGCAAAAGTCGGGGATATGCGAGGCTGTGAGGTAGTTGGGTGCTCCTATCAAGCATAAGAGGCCAACAACCGCGGAATATGGCAAGAGCACGATATTTTGCACGCTCCATGAGAAACGGCCGCATTCGCACATCACGCACGCGAGGGAAGGCTCTTTTGGCGGTACTCTCAGGGTTGACACACTGCTTAGGAATGAGAATTGCAATCTGCCTTCTTTCGTGTCTGATGAAGAGGTCCCGGACAAGCTTTCTGAGAACGTTTTCCCATAAAGCTACTGGGAACCATGAGACAATCACGCGAAATGTTGAAAGATGCGGTCCATCGATGTACAGCAGGTTTCCAGCCTGTCAATTTGTTACACTCTTGTGCCTTCGAGAAACATCTTCAGAACAAGCCCTTGCAGGCTGTATTGTCATTGACACACCGAGGGTACCTTCTTGAGGGTTAGTCCCTGTGCCGCTTTAATTCAATTATACTCACGTCTTATGTGAATCAACTAAGGAGAGCCAAGGCCCTGACGGCTCCAGGAGATTCAGGAGATTCTATCGCTGTGTACTTAGACTGGGCGTACTTGCCCTTCCCCCACCAACCCATCCCCAAATCAAGCCTCAACAATGAATCTGCTTGAAACTGAGTGCAGGATTGAGCAATGAGCATATGTGTTGTGAGAGACATGTTATGTGAGGATCATAATTAGTCCTAGTCGTCCAGATGCTGGGTATCCGGTTACGCCAGAATCATGCGCGCAGTGAGGCAGTGAATGCCCTCAGCAGAGCTAATCGCTGGAAAATCAATGTCAAAGTACGGTATCTCAAGTCAGCATACATAGAAGTGGCGCGCACGGAATTCCCGAAAGAAACTCAAATGTATTATGATGGACAAATTATGCGGCAGAAGAAGCACCTGGAAATGCACGGAAATACACATAAGTCACATAAGTAAAAGAATGAAAAAGTCATAAGCATACATGAGTTGAATTCCGAGAAATGAATGACGCGATGAGCAAAAACAAGCGGAGTGACAGGAGCTAAACCCGTCTCTCGGCAGCATTCAACAAATCGAGCTAAACAGAGGTAGAAGAGAATTAACTGGAATTAAGCTAAGCTAAATGAAAGAAGGAAGAAAACAGAATACAACCCAATGAAATGAAACAAAATGAACATTGCCAACAAATAACCCTCTATGAAGATACCCTGAGCAGGTAGAAGATATTGATGAAGTATCAGTAGTACACGAACAAGAAAAGCCTTTACTTCGAGCACCCCACCCTAAGGTTGGATTGTTGCGCAGCACTTGGACATATAGGGAGGAGCTTCTGCCTTCGTCAAAATTTAGATAAAGGGTTTCCGCTTACGCGTGAATATTTGAATTTATGTCGCCAACAGTTCTAGAAAATTCCGAACCAACAGCCAAGGTGCGTTTTCATGCTTGAGCCGCAATATTTCGAAGCGGTCTTTCGGTGGAAATATTGCGCGCCGATATGGTGCATGCAAAACTCTGAGCCTACATACTTGCGCCACCAATAGAGCGTCAATGTATTTCCAGTCTGTGCTCGTAAAGTTCAGTGTTTGAAAGCCCTCTCGCTACGAAAAATCTTGTGCTGATTCTGTGTACGAGCATATTCAACATGCTGTGGCCATATCACCCGCATCACATCTGGCAGGAGTTTTTCCTGCAGAAGATCTTTGGCCGACATTGTCTACTCTCACGCATATGTTGTTTGGCTGTCCCTCCCGCCCAAGTCTTGGGAATCATGAGCTTCCTTCTGGATGGATCGGTCAAGATAAGACTTTGGAAGCCTTGGCAGTGTGGAAAATCTCGCGCCGACGTTCTCCAGGCAAGAATTCAGCTTCGCAATTTTTCACAGTCTTACATTGACAACAAAAGCAAAACTTAACGGATTTGGGTCATCGGCAACTTTATCCACCCTACTGTATGGACATGCTGCGTGGACACTCGGGGCTTGAGCACTTCAAAGACGCTTGGGGGACACCTCAAGGTTAGGCACTATACAGGGACACTCTGCAACTGGGAACTGCAAGAAACACTCTCTTGGGTTGGGCACTACAGGACTGCAGGGACACTCGTGGTCGGCACACTTTAGAATTGGTCACCGCCGTGACAGAGCAAGCTTTGGGAGACTGAGGATTGGTAGGGACAATTTGAAATTGGACACAGTAGTGACTGTCTGGGGTTCGGCACTGCAGGTTAGATGAGGAGAACATAGAGCCGTCATGAAATCCAACTGTAATGTCGAAAGAAAGTGGAAGAAAGCATGAGCGCCAAGCGAGTCATGAGACACATAACCAGTACATGAAACGTTTATTGTTTTGGACAGGGGACCACCATGCCATGTTCCGAACAAGCGACCATCAACAAAAAAAGAGCTGATTTCCTGCCTGCTGTTTCGGGATGCTGCTCCTTTGGAGGACTGCCCGCTTGCTGCAGACCTCGCGCCAAAGTGTAATTGCAAGTGAGAAGCAGAAACAGCCGAGGACCTTTGTCAGCACCTTTCTCGGGCATGGATACCGAGAGCTGTAAAGGCCGCATCTTCAACTGTGCCTGGCAGAGCAACTTCCTCGGAAGATCTGGAAGGGCCATCATGATCGATGCCTGCCTCGAAGCTCTGGGAGTCCATGCTTGAAGTCGCGACTCCGTTCATGGCTAGAATCTCCGCATTCGCAGGCACACCAGCGCCTCAGCCACTGGACAATAGAAAGCTGCATGCAGCGCTTTGTCGTGGGGAAGCAAACAGCGTGCTCGGCTCTGGCCCCAGCTTCCATCCGATACCTCCACAGTCAGCACATCTACCACCAAATCTGCCATCCTGCACCATTCTCAAGGTCCTGCCCGCCAGCAGTATGTTATGCCAGGAACCACCATTTTCTACAGGCGCTTGCGTCACGAATCGCTGGCCTCTTCTGCGAAAAAAGGTCTGGCATTCAAACAACCTGTCTTCGTTGCCTTCAGATTTCAGTGTCGATAGCCTGCGCCTGTTTGCGCTCACGACCACTCACTTCCTCATGGAATCCACCTCGGCCTTCACCTGGGCACACAACTTGAAAAAGCACCCAATAGCCAGCTCTTGGGAAAGGCACGTGGGTGCACCATGAGCGCACCCCGGTGCGCCTCAAGGCGGCGCTTGGTCAGCGGATTTGCCACGGCCGCCACAAGGGCAGCGCCGTAGATCAGCACCAGCGCAATGCCACCAACCTCTGTCTGTCTAATGTGAGAGCACACATTCATGAACTCCCGCTGATCTGGCCAATCTGGCCAGCATTCCGGCGGCACCACTTTTGCCACTAGTGCAGGCAAGGTGCGAGCCAGCCTAAGTCGATGTCGCATTGTCACTTGCAAAGTGAGAACATAAGTTCAAGCTGCGCATGAAAATTGCACCAAGGTCAAAGTAAGAGGAAGCGAAGCTTCCGATCTAGACCAGGTCACTCTGAAGCATAGCCACCACGGAATCGTAGGCACCAGCAGGCTGCTCCAGCGCCAGGGGAGTAAGCCCAGCAAATGTCGCAGCCACCACGCGCTCATCCACCTTTCAGCAACTCAACCACAGCTGTGCAAAGAACCTGCTTCGCCTGCTTCCGAGAAATTCTGATGCCCGCCTGGGGAGCCGAACCTTGGCGAGGCGCCACGAAAGCCTCGGCTTCTCAAGCGGTGCCACAAGCGTCTGACGCCTTAGGCTTGGGCGCCCCACAGGCGCCAAGCAGAGGGCAGAGAAAGCAGCAAGGAGGAGGGCAGCGGCACCAGTTTGTCCACCTGATTGAAGTAAGACATGCAAGCTGAAGAAACAAATGAGATAAATGGGCCCCTTGATCGCTGGCGTGTATCTCTCAGGAAGTATGAGCAAGCAAGCAATGGCCCCTCGGTCAACTCGGGCTCCGGCGGGCCATAGTTCCGGTTTTCGTTGAAGCTTTGAAAGTATCAGGGGCTCGCGAAGGCTTGGGCAAAAAGTCTCTCGGCCATGAAATGTGCCACGCGCACTACAGAGAAAGTAATTGGCCCGTCAAGTGAATCAGGGCAGATGTGTAGCCTTGGAGATGATGACAGGAGCTGGCGGCATTGAAGAGAAGGCGATGCCCA